TAAATTAAAATGATACGTGTTTAATTAACTTTAATTAATAATGCAATAAAAGGCACAACCTACATTTATTTATTTATTTATTTTTTTGGTCGAAGACATAAAGTTAACAAGCTATTGATTCGACTGATGCTCCGAGTCGTCTTTATACTCTGAAAATAATATTTTTCAATGAAATGATCAAGTAAAATATAAATTTTATTCATGTATGAGATTGATATTCCTTTTATTTTAAATAAATAGAATATAATATTTTAACAATTTTTCAATATGTATAAACCCTAATATTATAAAAGCATTTTTGTTGACACATCATGATATTATGAAATCATTTCAACTCATAATATTAATTATATTTTAAAATTATTTTTACTATTCCCTCGTCCTTCATTAGTTGATACACTTTCCTTATAAGTGATTCTTTATATAGCTGCCAGCTTGCCACATTTTCTTATAAGATCGTCCATATTTAATTAACAAGCTTTTATATTACTCTAAAAAAAGAGATGGTCCTATCAATGTTATATTATTTCGATCTCTAACATTTTACGAGTTTCACTTTTTTGGTGACTTATACAAAAATATTTAAAAAATCACACCCCCACTCACCAATAGAAATAATGTTGTAGACCTCAAAAAGTATTGCGTCTCCCCAAAATAAAGTCTGATGATGGAACAACCTTCATCTCCTAGTTTGTGACGCGAGAGCAATAGTCCAATATGGGTTTTCTTGAAAATTCATGGAGTTTTTAGAAAGCCTACACTATCTTTCAGTTATTATTAATTATTAGGATTTTTTCCTATGGGTTTTTACTTTTCACTTGAAAGGAATTTTCCTATTGTTAGGCTTTAAGAGTTTTAGTTGAAAGGATTTTTCCTATTTTTAGGCTTTAAGAGTTTTAGTTAGTAGGATGTTTATTTGTTTAATTTATTTATGTTAGGATAGATTTATTAGTTGGTTACAAATATAATTAGGAGATTTATTAGGATTAGGATCCTTAAAATTATATCTTATTTTAGGATATGATTATTAGTTTCCTATCTTATCTTTGTACGTTTTTTCACCCTATAAATATGGTGCATATAAGTTATGAATAATAAAGAGATTTATTTTGGAATTAACCCTTTGAGCATTGCTCGTTTGATTGTTAATAAAAAACATCACTTGTTGCGACTCGTGATCATCTTCTAGTTGCAACTAGGAAGAGACCCTCTATTCTTGCGAGAATTAGAATACTATCGTTTTAATTTTCGTCTAGTTTCTTTAGTTCTTGTTAAAATCAGAAAATCCAATGTTATTATAGCTTGCGAGCCTTGTGAGTATTTTGAGAGATCCACATCATAATGGTATCAGAGTTATAATAACATTGGATCTTTGGATTTTAACAAGAACTAGTGTAGGCTTTCTAAAAACTCCATGAATTTTAAAGAAAACCCATATTGGACTATTGTTGATAGACGTGTCGCGTACCTAACAAAAATAATAAATCAAATATGGGTTATTTATGCGTACAATTAATGTAATAGTCATTCTACCCCTAACATATAATTCAATTGATTAACGAGGAAAAGCAATCCCTAAATGGTACCAATAGTCTCTCCCGAGTTATCAATAGCTTCCTTAATCACAATCAAGCCTACTTCCGTGGAATCATGTAAATTAAGGACTTTGAGTATATTACTCTAAATTCCTAATCATCCATTCCTATTCCCGTGATGAACTTCAAATCCCTAATTGATTTATTCAAACCCGTTAAAACCCAACTCCCGTTGCGATTAAAACAATGGATTAATAACAATACTAATTATCCCTAATCTAGTATTTTCATAAGCACAATCAATTAAGCATATCAATTGCAGTTATCATTAGAGAATTTACATAATTAAATCATGCATTAACCATATTCGGGCTCCGCTAGATCTTGGAATAAAGAAACTACTCACCCATAGTCATGAATTCAAGAATGATATTCAATAACGAAAACATAATTAACAATAATAAAATAAGAGAATTGAAAAAAGAAATCAATACTTGGAATTAATTATGAAATCTTGAATCTTGAAAGCAAAATCCTAGAAAATAATGTGGAAGAACGTAATACCAAAAACTCTAAAATATTGTATGTAAAGTGATAGCTAAAAGACTATCTAAAACCTATTTATATCCTAGCATAAAACTAGGTATTTCTATCTTAATAGGACTCCCAAACGCTACCAAAACGAGCTGCCACAGGTAGGTTGTGGCACGGAAGAAATCGCCACAGCCAGGTTGTGGAGCAGGTTGTCTTCGCCTCTCTTTTGCTCCAATAATAGACGGACAACAACCAGATTATGGCCGACAGGTTGCACGCCACAACCAAGTTCCGGAGCAGGCTGCTACAATGCTTTAGGATACTAGAAACGCTCCATATAAAGAAATATCTTGCGATCAAAATGAATTCCACGCAAATCGAGCCCTATTCCTACAAAAACAAAAACAAACAAACCGTGAAGAGCAATATCGAAATAGGAAGAATAATAACTCAAAATGATTAGGAGAATGAAGAAAACTCAATAAAACATGACCAAATATCACATATAAATCGTGTATAATATCGTGTTATCAAATTCCCCCACACTTAACCTTTGCTCGTCCTCGAGTAAACAAAATAAAAATCAACCTAGAAAGCAATAAATCCTAATACTCATCTTCAACATCGCTTCGAACCGATGCTCCAAGAAATGTGTTCCCCTGTCACTTATCAACACACATGGTAAGCCAAAACGAGGGAAAATAACTTTCTTGAAAAACTTGCTTACCACACCAGCATCGTTGGTTGGAGTAGCAATTGCTTCAACCCACTTTGAGACATAATCAACGACTACTAAAATATATCGATTTCCATAAGAAGAGGGGAATGGTTCCATGTAATCTATCCGCTACACGTCAAACAACTCGACCTCGAGTATGTTATTGAGTGGTATCTCGTACTTCCTAGAAATATTACCGGTCTGTTGACAATCATCACAAGCCTTAACATATGAATACACATCCTTGAACAAAGTTGGCCAATAGAAACCACATTGTAAAATCTTTGCGGCCGTTTTCGTAGGACCTGCATGTCCTCCATAAGGTAAGTCATGGCAACGAGAAATAATGTTGCTTAAATAATGTTGCTTACCTCTTCTTCCGGAACGCATCTTCTGATCATTGCATCCGCACATAGCCTATAAAGGAATGGACCGTCCCAAAAATGTTGCCTTGACTCATAAAAGAATTTCTTCTTTTGTTGAGACGAGTAACTGTCGGGTAGTGTACCTATGGACAAGAAGGTAGCTAAATCAGCATACCAAGGTGATTCAATTTTAGAGAGTGCTAATAAATGTTCATCAGGGAAAGAGTCATCAAAAGAGAGGTCGTCTCCGTCCCTATTATCGAGGAGGAGGTGAGAAAGATGGTCTGCAATGACATTCTCTGTCCATTTCGTGTCCTATATCTCGATGTCATAATCTTGCAACTGAAGGATCCAACGAATCAATCGTGTCTTAGCGTGACTCTTACTCATTAAATATCTCAATGCTGCAGAATCTGTATGAATTATTACTTTTGAACCAACTAGGTAAGAATAAACTTGTCTATTGTAGAAACTACTACTAGTATCTCTTTTTCAATTGTGGCATAATTCATTTGAGCAGGGCTAAGAGTTTTACTCGAGTAATAATAGCATAAATTTTTCCATCCTTTCGTTACCCGAAAACGGCCCCTACCGCATAGTCACTAGCATCGCACATAATCTCAAATGGTAGGGTCCAATCCAGGGGTTGTATAACAGGAGCGGAGATCAAAGCTTCTTTCAACCTGTTAAAAGCCTCAAGACAAGCATCAGTAAATACAAATGGGGCGTCCTTAGCCAAAAGCTCAGTTAGAGGTCGAGCGATTTTCGAAAAATCTTTAATAAATCATCTATAAAATCATGCATGACCAAGAAAGCTCCGAACACCTTTTACAGAGTTAAGAGGGGGTAGTCGCTCAATGACCTCTATCCTTGCTTTATCAACCTTAATACTCCCTTATGTGATACCACATGGCCTAGAACAACACCCTGTTGTACCATAAAATGACATTTTTCCCAATTCAAAATTAAATTGACTACTTGACATCTATGGAGCACCTTTTTTAAATTTTCAAGACATACATCAAAAGATGTTCCATAGACAGAAAAGTCATCCATAAAAACTTCTATTGAATTTTCAATAAGACCTGAGAAATTTGCCATCATGCAACGCTGTAAAGTGGCTGGAGCGTTAAATAATCCAAATGGCATTCTTCGATAGATGCAGGTGCCATAGGGACATGTGAAAGTGGTCTTTTCCTGATCACATGGACGGATGGGAATTTGAAAGAAACCAAAATATCCATCCAAGTAGCAGAAAAAGGAATGCTTAGCCAAACGTTCAAGCATCTGATCAATAAAGGGGAGGGGAAAATGGTTCTTTCGGGTGGTCTTATTCAACCTCCTATAATCAATACATGTTCGCCAACCTGTAACATTCTAGTGGCGATTGGCTCACCCTTGTTATTCTTGACAACGGTCATACCCCCCTTCTTTGGAACTACTTGTAAAAGGCTAACCCACTTACTATATGAGATAGGGTAAATTATTCCTGCAGCAAGCAATTTAAGAACCTCATTTTTAACTACCTCCATCATATTTGTATTAAGTCTTCTTTGAGGTTCTATAGAGGAGGCATGATCGTCCTCAAGAATGATTTTATGCATACAAAAAGAGGGATTATATTAATACCTTTAATATTATCAATTGTGTACCCAATAACACTTTTATATTTTCTCAAAACAGTGAGCAATTGCTCTAATTTCGTGTCATTAAGCTAAGCATTAACAATAACAGGATATGTATTATTAGGACCATGGTATGCATATTTAAGAGTAGAGGGAAGGGGTTTCAACTCTACCTCGGGAGGCGTAGTACTCTCCCCAACACTCGATGCACTAAGGACTTCCTTCATTGGAGCGGTGATTGGATTGGCTTTTGCTTCCTCAAGTAGCCGTGTGTACTCCCTTGTCTCCCAATCTTCATCATTGGCACTCCCATTAACACCATTTCAAGTGCATCATCCGTTTTAATCAATGGAAGTTGCTCACGTTGTAAATCATCAAGGAAATCCACTTGACAAATAGTCTCTCGCATGGAAGGAGTTCTAATAGCAGTCAAGAGTGAATACTCCATTTTCTCGTCGCTTACCTCAAAAGTGATTTTACCATTCTTCATATCAATGATTGCACCTGCAGTGGCTAAGAATGGTCTACCAAGAATAATAGGAACATGTGCATCCTCCTCCATCTCCATCACAACAAAGTCGCATGGGATAAATAATTTTCCCACGCGAAGAGGAACATTTTCAAGTACACCCAAAGGAAACTTAACCGACCTATCCACAAGTTGTAGAGATATGCGTGTAGGCTTTAGCTAACCCATTTAAAGTTTCTTGCAAATAGAGAGCGGCATAAGACTCACACTTGCACCAAGATCACATAGTGCCCTGTTGATCTCTATGTCTCCAAGTTTCACCGGAATTGAGTAGCTACTCGGATCGCCTAGTTTCTTAGGAAGTATGTTTTGCAAAATCGCACTACACTCTACAGTTAACGCAACTGTAGCATTCTCCTCTAGCTTCTTCTTGTTAGAGAGCATATCCTTTAAAAATTTTGCATAAGATGGCATCTCGGATATTGCATCTAAGAATGGAATGTTGATGTGAAGCTTTTTCTGAATATCAAGAAATTTTCCATACGTTTTCTCTAACTTATCTTGAGCCAACCTTTGCGAGAAAGGAGCTTGCGGCACATATGAAACAAGTGGTGGTGGAATCGATGCCTTTGGCTCTTCCTCAATCACACTACTATCAACCGCCTTCTTATTTGTGACTATCTCTTCAACAACCTCCTTTGAGGGAGGATCTTCTAATTGCTTTCCACTCCTCAAAGTTACGACATTCATATGCCCCTTTTGTGGTTGCTCTGTTTGACCTGGAAAGGTACCCGGAGTCTTTGAAGATTGGCCAACTTCATGAGCAAGTTGACTTATTTGATTTTCCATGAGCTTGTTCTGAGCTTGTAATTGTTGGATGGAATTGTTTGCTGTGGTAATGAAGTTCTCCATCATTAGCTCAAGGTTAGATTTTTGCGGAGGTGGTTGCATAGGTTGTTGGACTAGAGGTGGCCTTGCTTGGAAACCAGGTGGTGCATTATAATTGTTGTTTTGAGGTGGTGGTGGAGGTGGATTTTTTTGTGCTTGGGTATTCTTGTAAGAGAAATTTGGATGATGTTTTCAACCTCCATTATATATGTTTGAATGAGGGTCATATGGCCTTTTGGAATTCGAAGTGTAGAATGCATTGGCTTCCTGGATCGACATCTCATTCGAGTTTTGTGGACAGTTAGGTGCAATGTGACCTTGTACATTACACATTTGACAAGTTTCAGGTGAGCTAAAAGATGTAGCTTGAAACTTATCAAACATGCTTGTCAATGGCTGCATAGAACTAGTCAAAAGAGTTAGAGCATCAACTTCAAGTTTTCCTCCTTTCTTCACACTATTTCGGCCCCCTGGATGATAGTTGTCATTAGCCGCCATCTTCTCAATTAGCTCTTTGGCCTCAGTTGGGTTCTTAGACAAGAGAGAACACCTAGATGCAGCATCAATATAGATTCGGAACTCATGAGTTAAGCCATTGTAAAAGGTTTGATCAACATCCATTCAGGAATACCATGATGAGGGCATTGTCTCTGCAATCGCTTGAACCTCCTCCATGCTTCATAGACTGCCCGAAAGTAGATAACTCATTTCTCAACCTTGCAGTCTTTTCCTGCCCTAAGAACTTGACCAGAAAAGCTTTCACCAGTTTGTCCCATGTGTCAAAAGAGCCAGTACCTTCATCTCTCAACCATTCCTTCGCCCTATCCCGTAATGAGAAAGGAAAAAGGCGAAGTCTAATAGTATCATCTGTAACACCATATAGCTTCATAGTATCGCATTTCTCCAAGAAACTATCAATGTGACTCACTGGGCAATCATGAGGTGTGCCTTCAAACGAATCATTGGAGATGAGTTGAATGAAATGTGGTTTCAATTCAAAGTTTTGAGTAGTAACGGGTGGTGTGACAATGGTAGAGAGGAGTCCGGCTGTTGTATTAGGAATACCGTACTCCAAAAGAGATTCCGTTCCTGGGTCGCCCATGTTTCTATTGTTTTGATTTCTCCTTCTTCTTCTACCTCTTCGTCTCCTTGCAGTTGCATCGGTTTTAGAATCAAAAGGTATTAAATCTTCTGACCCTGAACGTCGTGTTTCCATGCAACAAAGAACTAAAAGCATAGTATCAAAAACACAAGAGACAATAGCCGAAGTAACAAATAGAGCTTAGTAAAAACGAATCACGAATAATTAGAATGAAACTGTTAGTCCCCGGCAACGGCGCCAAAATTTGATAGGCGTGTCGCGTACCTAACAAAATAAACCTAACAAGACCACTACTATGTAGATAGGCAAGTAAGGATCGAATCCCAAGAGACTATGGTTTGACTAATTAAACATACTCAAATAAATACTAAGCAAGTAACAAATATAATAGTGAGAACTAATAACTAAAGAGCTAAATAAAGTGGTTAAATCTAGTAATATAATAAATCAAATGCTAAAAAAATCCAAGATCAAGCATCACCACGAATACAATTAATGCAATAGTCGTTCTACCCCTAACATATAATTCAATTGATTAACGAGGAAAAGCAATCCCTAAATGGTACCAATGGTCTCTCCCGAGTTATCAATGGTTTCCCTAATCAGAATCAAGCCTACTTCCGTGGAATCATGTAAATTAAAGGCTTTGAGCACATTACTCTAACTTCCTAATCATCCATTCAACTACTCCCGCGGTGAACTTCAAATCCTTAATTGATTTATTCAAACCCGTTAAAACTCAACTCCCGTTGCGATTAAAACAATGGATTAATAACAATACTAATTATCCCTAATCTAGTATTGACATGAGCACAATCAATTAAACATATCAATTGCAGTTATCATTAGAGAATTTACATAATTAAATCATGCATTAACCATATTCGGGCTCCGCTAGATCTTGGAATAAAGAAACTACTCACCCATAGTCATGAATTCAAGAATGATATTCAATAACGAAAACATAATTAACAATAATAAAATAAGAGAATTGAAAAAAGAAATCAATACTTGGAATTAATTATGAAATCTTGAATCTTGAAAGCAAAACCCTAGAAAATAATGTAGAAGAACGTACTACCAAAAACTCTAAAATAATGTATGTAAAGTGATAGATAAAATACTATCTAAAACCTATTTATATCCTAGCATAAAACTAGGTATTTCTATCTTAATAGGACTCCCAATCGCCACCGAAACGAGCTGCCACAGGTAGGTTGTGGCACGAAAGAAATCACCACAGCCAGGTTGTGGAGCGGGTTGTCTTCGCCTTTCCTTTGCTCCAATAATAGACACCCACAACCAGGTTGTGGCCGACAGGTTGCACGCCACAACCAAGTTGTGGAGTAGGCTGCTACAATGCTTTAGGATGCTAGAAACACTCCATATAAAGAAATATCTCGCGATCAGAACGAATTCCACGCAAATCGAGCCCTATTCCTACAAAAACATAAACAAACAAATCGAGAAGAGCAATATCGAAATAGGAAGAATAATAACTCAAAATGATTAGGAGAATGAAGAAAACACAGTAGAACATGACCAAATATCACATATAAATCGTGTCTAATATCGTGTTATCAATTGCTCCCGCATCAGTTTGGTTCGGTAACTCGGTTTTGCATGATGGATTGAAGAATTATTTGAAATTTCCTTTTATTCTAATCCAATAACATTTTCTAAGCCATTTTAGCCATTTCATAAGACCAAACCCTTTTACTAGATCCAAATTTATAAACCTTAGCCTACTTTATTATTTCTAGTATTATTATGTTAGGCTAATTTAATTATGTTAGGGCTCAAAATCCTCCTGGTTGGAATTGCTATATGTTTTCTAGTAATATGTTAAAGCTAATTCAATTATTAGTATCATGCTTGGTTGCTCCCAATATTTATTTCATGATTTATTGGCTAATTATGATTTTTATTGCACTATTTGTTTAATTAAGACTCGTATTTAAAATGAATGATAAAAAGATTATAGACAAGTGGTTAGGATCTCATTAATTATGTTGTGTAATTAAGTGGTCATAATATTTAACAATTCAATTATATGTGCATTAAATATTCAACTAACTTAGTATAATCTAGTTTGGAGCAAATTAAATCTTTTGTTTATATGTCATTTCGATTACAATTAATACATCTCGTAATAAGAGCTGATCAGTTGAGGCCAATACAAGCGGAATTGTATTCCTGATTCGATTTTGTGCCATCATCTCCGACTCCTCGCTCCTTTTGTGTTCCGTGACCACATTGAGTTAGCAATCTCATGGATTGTGAATGGGGTGTAACTTTCATGTTTTAAATCGTTGGTGTCTTCAGAGTTGTCCCTAATCGTAGTCGTCTTTTTCCCTTTTGTTGATGATCCATGAATGGTTTACAAGTTCCATAAAAGACTTAGTTTGTTGGTAGCTTTATAATTTGTCCCTTGTCCCATTCAATTCAATATCAATTCCACATCTTCTTACGATTTCTATTCACACGTGCTAAAGTAGGCCGCCAACTCCTACGCTTACAATTTCCGACTCCTACAACGCTTACCATATAGTCCCTCTGTCCTACATAATTTGCTTCATATGTAAATGGTCAAACTAATGTACAAGAAAGTAGACCAAATTTAAATCTTAGTTATTCTAGAATGGAGGGTGTAAGTTACAAGGTAATTTGTACTTTGGTTACCAATAGATAGGACACAGTCGAAGTGGGCGCTTTGCATTGTCATTAAAATCCCTATTTTAATCTTATAATCTAATGATTTTACGATTCATGTATGTCATACGATTCGATTTACGATTCTACCCGATTTTACATATTTCTCTTAACTAGCGAAATCCTTACAAGTTTAAAATATGTCTACAAAGTTATTTATAAAAATATATTGTCAACTATTGGTTTCTTAATGAGTAAACAACTATTTTCTATTAATAATTAGGTTTCAAACTTATAATTTAAATAAAGTTTTATTTAATTTGGATATGACGTCTTGATTATGCATGTTCATAGAATTTTACTTCGTTTTTGAGAGCCCCTTTCGATTCAAAGTAAAATCCCAACTTTCATAACTTTGGGGCTTAGAATGTATAGAAAAGTAGGTTAGTTACCTTGGATTTAGGGCATGTATATTTTGCTCATCATATTTTCACATATTTCAAGAAAATTATGTCAAAAAATTTCAGACAAGTTCTGGAAAAATAAGTTCTGATAATGTTTACCCAAGTTTGATTTAAAAATAACGTAAATTATAAAAAGGTCTAATAAATTAAAAAAATATATATGATAAATTCTAAGTAACTGAAAATCAAGTGAATAGAACTCGTCCTAAGAATGAACACCCATGTACTCGAGCGTGTGTTCCAACAAGTGTGTATCTTTGTCGTAAATTAAATGAATTAATCTCGGTTTGCTTTGTGCACCTTGTAGTAAATGAACTTTGGTCCAAGTAATTTGATATGTTGAATGAGCATCACGAGCCAGAAGTATTTAATCCTAAGGCCTTGTTTTAAATAGGTAAGTTAGTATATATAGGGATTAGTACTTAGCATTATTGTTTTTCGGTTTTTCCTCAAGTTAGAGTAATTTTATTGTGGCAAATAGCAATTCACTTAGAAAATTGTTTTCATGGTTAAGATGATTAATTGTATAGCAATTCACAAAATTTGATTTGGAGGTCACAAATTCGACTTCCCACTAATGACACTTTCATGATATAGTTTCCTTACAAACACTACAACTTTACATTACCAAGATTGATACCAACCAAACAAGAAAAAAAATCAGAAAAAAATATTGACGATTGAAGCTGGAAAAATTGGCTTAACCCGATTGATGAGACAGAGGTTGACCCACGAAGCTTAATCCACGATCCAACAACATTTACAGGCCTACAACCAGGGCCGTTTCTGAGATTTTGGTGGCCTAG